TGTGTGAGAGCTGGGACTGTTTGCATTTCTGGCTGGAACTGGAGAGGGAGGAGGTGGGAAAAGGAAAGAAAACCACAAAGTTGCTTGTCTGGGCCATTTCTTTTGAGATTGTATTTTCATATTTAATTTTCTTCCTGTCCTTGCCTCTTTGACCTTTTGTTAATGATGCTTCATGAACAGGTGAGAGCGCTGCAGAGGCACTTTTGAATGACTCTTTCTTTTCCTCCACAGACCAGGAAGCTGTGTTGGCTGTGGTTTGAGAAAGGAACATGGCTTCCCAGGGTGAGTTGTGGACATTTATTCAGTCATCGCTGCTTCTTTGTCACATTTGCATTGAGTAGTATTTCCGAATTACCTTCCTCTTTAGATTTATGTAACTAAACAGTGAATTAGTTATCGATTTTTTAAATTTGAATCTTGTGTAAAATTTAACTAAGTGCTTCATGAATTTGTTGGTAAATCACTCCGATTAATTGTAAAGACACTGAGCCAGCTCTGAAAGTCATTCAGTGTAGTAGGACATAGTTGTAACTTTATAATTAATTCTGAAACCTTAAAGAAGCCTCTAAAATCCAAGCTGCACATCACACACAGGACTTGACAGCACGTGTGTGTGTGTGTTTCCTAAACAGCTGATCTGATGGAGCTGGACATGGCCATGGAGCCTGACCGTAAAGCAGCAGTCAGCCACTGGCAGCAACAGTCCTACCTGGATTCAGGCATCCACTCAGGAGCCACCACAACTGCCCCCTCCCTCAGTGGGAAGGGCAATCCTGAGGAAGACGATATGGAAAACCAGGTCATGTATGACTGGGAGCAGGGCTTCAACCAGAACTTCTCCCAGGACCAAGTACAAGGTGAGTTTGAGCACTGCTGCCCATTAAGGATTCTGAAGCACCAGTTTAACAAAGTTATTAAATGAGAGGCTCTTCTTGTCTGTTCTAGACATAGACGGTCAGTACGCCATGACACGTGCACAGAGGGTGCGTGCAGCAATGTTCCCAGAGACACTTGAGGAGGGCATGCAGATCCCCTCCACACAGTACGATGCTGCAAACCCCACTAACGTTCAGAGACTGGCAGAACCATCGCAGATGCTCAAGCATGCTGTGGTCAACCTGATCAACTATCAGGATGATGCAGAGCTCGCAACCAGAGCCATACCAGAACTCACCAAACTCCTCAACGATGAGGACCAGGTGATCCTTTTTACAAGCTGTCACTCTTTTTTTTCCCTTGTCCTGGTGTTTAATATATTTTTCTGTTTAGGTTGTTGTCAACAAAGCAGCAGTAATGGTCCATCAGCTTTCGAAGAAAGAAGCTTCTCGTCATGCCATCATGCGCTCCCCTCAAATGGTGTCTGCGATCGTCAGGACCATGCAGAACACGAACGACGTGGAGACGGCTCGCTGCACTGCAGGGACGCTGCACAACCTTTCCCATCACAGAGAAGGCCTGCTGGCCATCTTCAAGTCTGGAGGAATTCCTGCTCTGGTTAAAATGCTGGGGTATGTACACACACTGGGTCAAATGTACTTGCTGTACTGTAGTTATCTGCCCACTAGATTTTCACTTGTTTTTATACTAAGGAAACACAAACTATCCTAGCATCCTGTTTTGATGGGCCAAATTCTTTATCCAAAAATGTTCAAGACAAAAACAACTGGATTTTATTTGTAACAGAAGACGTTTCGCTCCTCATCTGAGAAGCTTTCTCAGTTCAAAGAGCAGAGCGTGTGGGGTTCAGGTGATAAAGCTGAGATAAGATACACATACATATGCAGATTGACATATCACACCTCACAGTAGGGGTTTGTTAAGGTCTTTATTAATCTAATTCACATATGAGGCCCCTCTTGTTCCATCTGATAGGTGTGAAACTGACTGGGAATCAGTCCTAAAGCTGCCTTATAAGTTTTTGAAAGTTGAAATCTGAGACCTCCTCTGTTTAGAGATGGCTTCTCTCTTTTTACATAAATTGCTTCCTTCACTCCCCTCTCAAACCATCTCATCTGTCTTCTCTGGTTTGAGAGGAGAGTGAAGGAAGCCATCTCTAAACAGAGGTGGTCTCAGATTTCAACTTTCAAAAACTTATAATGCAGCTGTAGGACTGATTCCCAGTCAGTTTCACACCAATCAGATGGGACCAGAGGGGCCTCATCTGTGAATTAGATTAACAAAGACCTTAAACTCCTACTGTGAGGTGTGATATGTCAATCTGCATATGTATGTGTATCTTATCTCAGCTTTATCACCTGAACCCCACACGCTCTGCTCTTTGAATTGAGAAAGCTTCTCGGATGAGGAGCAAAACGTCTTCTGTTACAAATAAAATCCAGTTGTTTTTGTCTTGAACATTTTTAATTCACCATGTCCTGGATGACTGAGAACCTTCACCAGCACAAAACCTTTGTCAGTGTCACCATTTTTGATCTTACTACTGTTTTTCTTTACAATTTGTATTTTTGTTGGGTGTAATTAGGACCCTGTGTACATGGTTTCGTTCCACCTCATGTACCACATGTGAATAACAATAAAAATCCTTGAATCCTCTCATAAGTGGGGATATAATAAAAACTGTTCTGCAGATCATTAATAAGAGGCAGATTTGAGTAAGAAAAACTACAGTCTGGAACTAGTAAGCTAATAGTGTTGAACTTTTCAGTTCTCCGGTGGATTCTGTCCTGTTCTATGCCATCACCACCCTCCACAACCTCCTGCTGCACCAGGAAGGAGCCAAGATGGCCGTCCGTTTAGCTGGAGGTCTACAGAAAATGGTGGCTCTGCTCAACAAAACCAATGTCAAGTTCCTGGCTATCACCACTGACTGTCTACAGATACTGGCCTATGGCAACCAGGAAAGCAAGGTGGGTCAAAGGTCATAAGGCTTGTTAATACTTCATGTTGTTAAGACAACCTAACCTGTCGTTTGGTCTTTGTGTAGTTGATCATCCTGGCAAGTGGTGGTCCTCAAGCACTGGTCAACATAATGAGGACTTACACTTATGAGAAGCTGTTGTGGACCACAAGTCGTGTCCTCAAAGTTCTGTCTGTGTGCTCCAGCAACAAACCCGCCATCGTAGAAGCCGGTACGTTTCCTTAACAGATATGTGGTGTAAGGACAAGAGTTATCAATCACAGGTTTACGTTTATTTTATTTTAGGAAAGTAAATCTTACTATGAAGTTGTCTTTTCAGGAGGTATGCAGGCTCTGGGACTCCACCTGACAGACCCCAGCCAGAGACTGGTCCAGAACTGTCTCTGGACTCTCAGGAACTTGTCGGATGCTGCCACCAAACAGGTGAACAGATCTGACTCGTAGCCTGTATTTATGTTTCTACTGGGACAAAGTTTACAGAAGCCAACATACATTTGATTTTGTTCAACAAAATCACTTCTAATAGATATTTTTTTTGTTCCTAGAATTGGTTATGCCATGTTTTATGCTAACTCTTTTTGTTGTTGCTCTCCAGGAAGGAATGGAGGGTCTTCTGGGAACTCTGGTTCAGCTGCTCGGCAGTGACGACATCAACGTGGTAACCTGTGCTGCCGGCATCCTGTCCAATCTGACCTGCAACAACTACAAGAACAAAATGATGGTCTGCCAGGTGAGGTCACACCTGTCTGCTCAGAGCTGTCGTCTCTTTAGTTTTTTATCAGCCTAAAGTCTCTGACGTGTTCATTAATTTGCTACGTCCTCGGTGCCTTTCCAGGTTGGAGGTATTGAGGCGTTAGTTCGCACGGTTCTACGAGCCGGAGACAGAGAAGACATCACAGAGCCAGCCATCTGTGCCCTGCGTCACCTCACATCTCGACACCAGGATGCAGAGATGGCGCAGAATGCTGTCCGGCTGCACTACGGCCTGCCTGTGGTGGTTAAGTTACTTCATCCACCCTCACACTGGCCACTCATAAAGGTACACTGCACCAGAAGAACATAAACACTGACGTACAGTGATGCTTTAGAACAGAGCTGCTTCTTCATTAGCTGTGATTCAAAGACTGATGAATGACTGTGCTCCTCCATCAGGCTACAGTCGGTCTAATTCGCAACCTGGCTCTGTGCCCTGCAAACCATGCTCCACTGAGGGAGCAGGGGGCCATCCCCAGACTGGTCCAGCTGCTGGTGAGAGCCCATCAAGACACTCAGAGACGCACCAGCATGGGAGGCACCCAGCAGCAGTTTGTGGTAAGACCTGGTTTATTCCTCAGCTCGGTGCAATTTAGTTTAGAAGAAAGTCCTCAGTCCCTTTCACTGTTGCAATGAGATGAAAATGGTTCCAGCCCCATGTAGCTCTACAGGCAGGAACCAACTGGTTCTGTTGTTAATGAAGTGTGTGTGCTCTCAGGAGGGAGTTCGAATGGAGGAGATTGTGGAGGGCTGCACAGGAGCGCTTCATATCCTAGCTAGAGACCTCCACAACAGAGTGGTCATCAGAGGGCTCAACACCATTCCACTCTTTGTACAGGTAGGTCTGAAGCTGTCATTCAAACATGGAGTTGACCCCTGCACTAGTTTCAGTGTTTCTGGAAGATGTTTGGGACACTGCTCACTGAAGAACCAGTAAAATATAAAGTCCTGTGTATGTCTGTGTGCAGCTGTTGTATTCTCCTATTGAGAACATCCAGCGTGTAGCAGCAGGAGTTCTGTGTGAGCTGGCCCAGGATAAAGAGGTCGCAGACGCCATCGAGGCCGAGGGGGCCAGTGCCCCCCTCACAGAGCTGCTCCACAGCCGCAACGAAGGCGTTGGTACGTACATAAAAACTACCACTCCATTATTTTATGTTCCTAAGTTTTAAACCTGGCAGAAACTTAAAGGAGCTTTATATATATTATATTTTCATATGATAAATAGTAAAGGTGGTTAAAATCCTACATGTTTAATAAACCAGTGTGCAGTAGCTGTTTGCAGACTGTTTGAGGCACACGGTGTGATGACAGCTCTGTACTCTTCCTCAGCAACATACGCTGCAGCAGTTTTGTTCCGAATGTCCGAGGACAAACCCCAAGACTACAAGAAACGTCTCTCTGTTGAACTCACCAGCTCGCTCTTCAGGACAGAAGCAATGTCCTGGAACGATGTAAGTCTGTTCGTTAGCTGCCCACTTACACAACATATTGAAAGATGAACAAAGGTCAAAGGTCGGTGTGTTTTATTTCATAACTTTAATGCGTGTCTTTGATTTGCCGTGCAGACTGGAGACTTGGGTTTGGACATTGGAGCACAGGGGGAGCCGCTCGGCTACAGACCAGAGGGTGAGTCTGTAGCTTTGTGCAGCTAAACCTTAACAAGTGAAACAAGTTAGTTAAACTGAAGCAAACTCCTCGGCTGAATTCTCAGTTGTCACAACTCAGTCTTTTAAAGACCGTGCACCTCTGGCACCCCCAAATTTCATCCACGGACAAGAAATGGATGATTGCTGCAGAGGAAACTGGTTAATAATGGTGACAGTGCTGCTGAGTTCAGTTGCTTCAGTTTAACAACTCACTTTGTGTGTTGATCAGTAGACTAGAGGGCTGGACGTTTCCCCTCACAGCTCTCACTCCTCCAGAACATCTGGAGCAGCAGGCTGTGCTGCACATGCAGAACTGGTCTGCTGGAGGATGGAGGGTGTGCTGTGTTGCTGTGATCGTACTACTGTGTGGTTTGTTTTTTGTTAACCTGCTTCTAACAGCTGCTCTGCTTCCCCTGCCTTTCCTCCATCTGCTCCCTGCTTCCCCAGACCCAAGTTACCGTTCCTTCCACTCGGGGGGTTACGGCGGGGACTCCATGGGTATGGAGCCCATGATGGACCATGATCTTGGTGGAGGTCACCACCCAGGCCAGGACTACCCCCCTGTAGAAGGGCTGCCTGACCTGGGACATGCCCAGGAACTGATAGAGGGTCTGCCACCCGGTGACTCGAACCAACTGGCCTGGTTTGATACCGACCTGTAAATAACATTACACTACACTTTCTACTAGGTAAGATGGCCTTCACTGCTTCGGAAAGATGAGCTCTGAAACATGGTGGGGAGTGTTCAGCATCAAATGGGGGGGGGGGGGGGAGGGGGTTGACTCATGGTGGCTGTTGCATGTTTGAAGTGTTTCATCTGCATGTGTGGTCCTTCACCAAACATCTTCCTCAGCTTGACTCCTTCTCTCCTCTCTTTGCAGCTGTACCATGTGATCCAGATGAACCTGCATCGTGATTCGCCCATATGGAGGAGGAGGCGGGGTTTCAGAAAGTGCCTGAAGATGACTCAACAACAACAACAAGCAGAGCTTCCTGTCTGCAGGAACTCCAGTGGGACAAAGTAGATTTTAGTGCGGTTCACTTCTGCTCTCTCAGCTTCATCTGGGGCGGACATTCAGTAAATCCTGACATGAGATCTTCATCATCAACTGTCAACAACCCTTTTTATTCTTTTTTTTTTCCACATTACTACTACTTTTGGTTAACTTTTTTTCCTTTAAATCTGTAATGGTACAAACTGAATCGAGCTTATTTCTCCTCATTTTTCTGCGTTATGATGCTCCTTTCTTGGTTTTTCTAAGTCCTTGGATTTTTAAGTCTCCTATAGTGTTAAACTTTTTTTTAGTGGTGATGCTTCATCCAAGTACAGAAGTGGATGGGATTTTGAACGGTGTCCAAACACTAAAGGTTGAAATGTATTCTGATGACCGAGTGTAACATTGTGTAGCTTTTGTATAAAAAAAAACATGAATTGGAAATCATGATCCAAATATTGAGCTATTTTCTTGCTTTAAAAGGAGGAGACTGATGTCTCTGCTGTTCCAAAGGGTGGGTGGGGGGAGGGGGTCTTAAAGGGCAGGGGTGGAGATGTGCTCCTATTGGTCTGCTGTTACTAAGGGGTGAAGAAGTGGAAGGCGCTGGTTGCTGTAGCCTGCTGTGTTCTGAAATAATAAAATGAACCGTCATTTCACCGACACGTCTCATTGATTGGGTCAGGATGGTTGGTTGGTTCTGTCGGAACTAGTAGATCAACGGCACACACAAATATTTATGGATATGAACGCAATTGATCAAAAATGGGACAAAAGTTTGAGAAGTGTTTTGAGCTTCTATTCATCCACATTTAAATCGGTCACAGCTGGAGATCACAGAACCTGCAGCAAACAGCATTCTGATGCCCCAACATCTGGCCAGATTACCTGCAGATTATATCCTGTGAAACTGCCAGTGAGCACGGACACTATTTTACAAGTTGGCCAGTCTTATCCCCCCCCCCCCCCCAAAAAAAAAAAAAAACAAAACAAACGACTTCCTAAACAACTGTCAACCTTTACATTTGTAGTCCCACTACTATGTACTAGAACTGTTTAATCAAACATTCAGCAGCAACGTTTTAACGAGATATAATGGAACTTTATTGATCCCAGAGTTTGTACAAATTAACATACACAAGGAATAAAAAAAACAAAAAAAAGTTTAGTCAAAATATTTGTCCAAATAGATTCAAACATTCAGATGAAACTGAAGCAAACGTTAAGGTGATCAGCTGACCGTTTCACACAACACTGTTGTAACTAAACAGTGTTCTGTCCAAAGCTGAGTGGACGCTGAGCAGACTCAGGTGCTGGTCCAAATCCCTGCTCCTGTTCTCCTGTGAGTCAGCTGAACTCTGGGAGGTGGTTTGAAATGTGCTGTCAAAGACATGAATATTCTTCACAGTCTTTGGCTGAGTGATGGGAGTCAAAGGCATCTTTTACAAACGCCTCAAAGCTAAACTTTACAAACTCCAGACATTTCCTCAAAACTGACATAAGAACGACAACATATGCAAAACGTACATTTATATTCACTTTCCAACGATTTAATAGTTTAGGATACACATAACTAAAGTCAATGTTTCATTCAAAACTAGCATCTATTAAAAAATTAAAAAAAAAACTAGTCTAAATTTCTTTAGCTAAAATGTTCACTCAGCTCTGGTTGATTGCAGGTTTGGAGATGAGGAGCATTTATGATCCAGAGATGATGTGAAGGATTTCTTCAGCTAGTGGAGTCACATCAGCATGACACCTAGAATAAAAATAAAATGTTAATTATTCAACATTTAATCACAGTGATGGTATCTAATGTATATATTGTTTTCTAAATGTGTTTACTGCATAAACTTATTTAAATTTCTACAAACACGTTTAGATAAATGCATTTTAATCAAAAGCACTGTTTCCAGAAACGAGGTTAAAGAAAAGTAATGTTCCTGAACAGTGTAGAGGCAGAAGCAGATTTGAAGCTTGATTTTTTTTTTAGTTCTGTGGTTTTGAACCACGCCCTCCAGCGCCGGGCTGGGTGGTACTGGACCAGCTGCTCCAACCATCAGAATCTGACACTTGTTGGAGCCACTTGGATACTTTCTGGTACTTCAGCTGGTCATAATGTTTTGGCTCGGTGAACATATTTTCTCAAGTTTTCTAAAACTTCCTCCTCATCTTCATCCCGGGTGTCTGAGGGCAGCCTGACGGACAGCAGTGAAAGCCCCCCCCCCCCCCCCCCCCGTTAATTAAAACCTCCATAATTAATCCAATTAGATCAGCTCCCAGAGGCAACACAGCTCCTTCAAAGTTTTGGGGCCTTGAAAAACAAACTGGGTTCATAAAAGTTTGGTACGTCATTGTGTTCCTGCACCTTCACTGAAACAAAAACACTTTCAGCTGAACAAAACACGGTGGAAAATAAAAATCACTTTCAGAGAATAGATTCTAGTTATTATGGTGCTAAATCTAAGGAACATGAGGAACACATGCACAACACATTTTACACCCGACAACAAACTACTCTTCAGTCTGCAGCCATAGCTGACACAAGCAAAGACCTTGGATAACCTTTGACCTTGACTTGTGACCTTGAACTTAGAGCTGGGTGATTAAAAGAGTATGTCAAACTGATGACATGTGTGATGGTTCATTACATTATCTTGAGCGGATCAGAAGTCCTGGGTGGGACAAGGACGTTTACAGACGTACGGACAGATGGCGTTACGGGAAACATCCGTCTTTTGATAAAACAAGATGTTTGTGTACAAACGTTATTTGTAATGTGATTCTGGATGGAACCAAAACAAACAGCAAGTGGTTCATTTCTAACTTGAATTCGGTCAGCCTGAACTAATATGTTGCGATTATATTTAAAGAAAACAACACAAAGGATTATATTAGTTTTATTTGATAAATAGCCTAATATTTATTATCCTGAGAGCAGCTTTGACTTCATCATTATCTCATTTTGAGAAATATGAAGTTCAACCTGTTAAGGTCAAGCCTAAAAAAAAAAAAAAACTGTGTAATGTCCAAATCTGGGATGTGTTGGGGCTCGGAGTATGTGATGCTGACGACTCTTAGCTACTACCACACACAGCCCAGGAATTGTAAAACTGTCAGATGTTTTTGTGTCTGCTAAGGTTGATTAGCTGAATAAAAATCAACCTTTTAAAAACATTGTGACAGCAGACGTTTCCATTTCTGCGATCAGTGGTTGAACAGGCCTCGGCTGCCGCAGCGTGTCAGTTGTGTTTCTAACAAACACCTGCTTCTGTTGTCCACGCAGACATTAGAAACCAGGAGCAGACATTGTGGCTTGTGACACGATGGTGGAGCCCCTCCTTCCTCTCTCCATCAGGCTGGAGATTTTGACAAAGCATTCCTCAGGTTGCCATGGTGAAGGCTCAGTGATATCACTGGGCTAAGATCTCACCCAGATCTCCATTCTCGCCCTCCGCCCATACTCCTCTCATCTTCTCGATTAATAGCTCACCCACCCCTTCGCTCCTCGTAACTCGTCTCATCCCTTGCCCTTTCCCCTAAAAACTTCGCTTCGCTCTCCCCACAGCTGAAACAGTGGGAGGGCGGTGTTCTCGGTCACTTCAAAAAGGTGAAGGACGATTTGTGCTTTCATCTGTTAGAGAAAGAGAAAAGGCTGAGAAGATGAGTGGAGGGAAAGGAGAAGTGGGTCAGGAGAATTGGCCAAAAGGAGGAAAATGAAAAGTGTTTGGAGGAGATGCTGAGAGTGAAAAGGAGGGGGACAAAAAGAGCTTCTATAGCAGGCCAACAATACACCCTGCTTATTGATCTGTGTGTGTGTGTGAGATTGAGAGACAATTTGTGTGCAGGGGAGAGTGACAGCAACTAATTGTGTGTGCTTGTGTGTTCGAGTGTGAGAGGTCGCCGGTCTACATCAAAGGATCAAAGGAAGAGCGATGGCTGCAGAGAGAGGACCGTCGGTTCAAAGAGGAACAAATGTTCTGCCTACAATCTCGTAAAAAACAACAACCAGATGCAGAGACACAGGCGGGACGTCACAGAAACAACGACGCCTTTGCTTTCACATGAGCTGGTTTCATGAGCATAATAATTCACATATTCCTACTAGAAAACACTTTCTGACAGGAAACTTTATATATCTATAACTCTATATAACAGTTCAGTTATTAACAAGTGGTACACTGATGTCCCCCGTCAGGGGGATTTGAAGAGTGTCGTTTTGGAAGTTAAGGGATTGGAAGTTTGTAGTTAAATGCAACTAAACCTTAATGTTTGTGGTACAAAATATTCAAGTGGGGAGGAGTTACACTGTGGAGAACAGAGGCAACACTAAGATCTTGGTGAATGGAGGGAGCAATTTTATCAACTATCAGGCACAATGAAGGAACTGGGGGAGGGGTTGCTATCCCTCAATTTATGGGGGCCCCCCATAGATTAATCTTTGACCACCCCAATCATTTGAGGAAATTAAAAGTCTTTTCAATATAAAAACTAGAAAGCATGGTTTCCTACACTGACGGGGTGGACAGTTTACATCTATATATAGCAGTGGCCATCTTGAATTTTGACGCAGCAACTTAATTTTAAAAGGAACCTTTCTTACACATATATACAGCCTCACACCAAAATAGAAGTCTGTACCATGGAAAAGTGGCATTTCCAATTCTCCCCCTTTGCTTTTTTAAAAAATATATTTTTAATTATTATTTTTTATTTCAAAAGAGTTTTTCATCACATTCATTAATTACAGCTTTAGCCATTCAAGGTCATATATAAGGATGGAGGCAAAAAAAAGTCCAAATAAATTTTGTCCATGCTGCCTTTCTGTTTTCTTTTACAGAACAATGTTAAAAATAAAGAGTTGAACAACACTGGTAGGTGGGGGGTGCACCACACCACAGCCTCTCCTGAAGAAACCAAACCTTGACCCCTCACTCGTTTCCAACTTCCGGCCTGTCTCCAAACTCCCATTTGTTTCTAAAGTACTGGAGAAAATAGTCAGTCGAATCCCAGTTGAAGTGCTTCCTGGAGGATCACACCATCTTAGAGCTTTTCCAATCTGGCTTTAAACCTCTCCACAGCACTGAAACTGCCCTGCTGAAGGTCTTTAACGACATCTTCAGATTCACAGATACTGGTGATTCTGTGCTGCTTGTCCTGTTGGACCTCATAGCCACCTTTGACACCATCGACCATGAGATCCTCATTGCTAGGTTGGAGCAGTGGGTGGGCGTCACAGGATCAGCCCTCAATTGGCTCAGATCTTACCTCACTGACAGATCCTTTTGTGTCTCCATCAAGGAGTTTAGTTCTGCAGAGGCAGAGCTTAAATGGGGGGTTCCGCAGGGGTCCATACTGGGTCCCCTCCTATTCTCTTTATACCTGCTGCCGCTTGGTGCTATTTTCCGGAGACACAACATGCCCTTCCACTTCTACGCCGATGACCGTCAAATTTACTTCCCCCTAAGACACAATGGTACAGGCTCTATTCAACCGCTGCTCAACTGCCTGGCTGACATCAGGGACTGGATGGCTTTAAATTTCTTAAGTTTCAATGAAAAGAAGTCTGAAGTCATGTTGTTCCCTCCCAACGACACGATCACAAACCACTGCATCGACCTTTCCGCTCTAACCCTGTCAGAAAACAAAGAGTCACTAATC